TGGGCAAAGCGCTGACGGCGGTGGAGACGGAGAGGGTTTGGAACGGTGAACGGGGCAGTGTAGGCGAAGCGCTGAAAACGGTGTGGGTGGTGGGGTGGCGGTGTCGCTAACTTTTGAAGCCTGTTACTTCTTCTTGACGGGAAGACAAGCAAAAACCGACCCTTCGGGATTTCACTGGCGCCGCCCCAGCAGGGGTCGGCGGAAAACTACATATGCTCCCTCTGTAAAATTCCATGCTGCGGGATGGTCTGAAGTTCCGGCCCGCTTCTCCTTCGAAGAAGGTCTCTGCCGTTGTGGCAACATCTCCAAACGATGACGGCAGCATTGACATTGTCCTGACTGCCGTTCCTTGGAGCAGCTGGAGGTCGCAGCAGTTCTAGGCAGCTTGCAACTGGGGTTGGGTCACCCCGTACATGTTCATGTCAACGCAGCCAACGCACAGCAACTGCAGATCTTTCTGACATGTCTTGTCTGATTTGACAGTGCCGAGGACAAGACCGTGCTGCCGCTTGGCTGAGCCACGCTGGGCCTCGGCCATCCAGTCCTCTGCCCAGAGCTCATCGGACTGAGGTTTCTAACCTTGACGACCTTGGCACATGGCCGATTCAGCGACAATGCTTTTGCCATGTCTCCAGGGATCGGCAAGGCCCTGGGTGACCTCGAAGGCATCTGTGAAGCGCCTTCGACCTGTCAGGTGCAGTTCATTCCGTTTGGTGCTCTGGACCGCACGCTCTTGCAGAGCAGTTTGCGTCTTGAGATCCTCGGCATAACACCTAATATGCTTCTGAGCACTGTTTCGTCATTTGCTTTGCCTCCGTGTGCGCCATTGGTATAACTACTGTAATGTGTTCGTGGCAATAGTCCAGGCCATCCATAAACGAATCCGGTAGGGCAACTCAACACTCCGTGTTAGCATCGAACATGCTCGTTTGGCCATCAAGCCCAAGAAATGGGAAATCAATGTCGCTGTTGTAAACGTTGTGCAAGGGCCTCGCAGGTTTGTCCAGGACAAGGTCTCTTAGCCATTTTCTCGACTGAAACTTCGCAGCTGAAGTAGAGGCCTGAAGCTTGCGGTTGTGTTTCAGCGAATGGTGCAGCTGCAGTCTGGCAGCTGCTGTGATGTCTGTGTTTAAGGCATCTCCAGCCGTACCAATCGTGGCAAGGCGGTGAGCACATCTACGTCTAAGAGCTTGCATCAGAGGTTCGGTGATGGGTGTAGGCGGGTTCAGATTCCAGACTTCCTGCAAAGTAGTTGAAAAGGATTTCCCTCCAGCATCAAAGATGAAGCAATGAGTTTGCTACACAGTGCGGTCTGTCACTTCGTACGACAACAGGGGGCTTGCTGGTTTTCATCTTGAGACTTACAGCGCATGCAGATCTTGCAGAGCAAAAGCCGGCGCTGGATTGGAGCCTGATCGAAGTCTTCATCTCGAGGTTGTGACGCATGCGCTTCCCTTTCGACTCTCCAGTTCAATACCTTGATCATTTTCTTGGGCAGGTCCCGAAGTGCCGTTCGTGCATCCACTACCACTGCACTCGCGCAGCATGCAACGATGCCTTCAAAGCAGAGTCGTAGCTGGTCTGTCCTCACGGGAAGCGGCATTCAGGCTGGCCCTCTTTTTTCGCTGTTTATGCTCCCACTTCAGGTCAACAGCTATTGCCGGCAACAAAGTGTGTTTATTTATGCCTTCATCAGACAGATGTTCGCAATTTCACCAGCATACCGCAACACAGCTCTTGTACGCAGGTCTCGAACTCCTTTCTCGCAAGCAGTGGCCCTCCCTCCCTCCGAGCCACACTCCTGCGGTTTGCAAAAAGTCGACTCCTCCAGAAAAACACTCCTCCTGCGGATTCCTGCATTCGACTGCTCCATGGCTGATGGCGGGTCGCGCGGGCGCCGTCCTCGGCGCTCGCCGCCGCGGTGCCGGCGGCTACGGGAGGGGCCGCGCCTATGGCAGCCTATATATGTCATATATGTGCTGTTTTGCAAGTGCTTGCGTGTGGTCGCGCTGGGGATGCCAGTGCATCGTTTGGTTGTGATGGAGACTGACGCTTCGGACTCTTGAAAGTATTGGCGAAAGGATCCTGGAAACGGTGGAGGTGGCAATGCTGCTGCAGTCGGGGCGGGGCGGGCCGAGCCGCGAGGACGCGGGGTGGGATGGTGTGAGCGCTGGAGGGTGTGTGATGCTTGAACCCTACAAAACTCCTAGCAGTGAAGTATGGAGGTTGGGATAGAAACATGGTGGGATCGGTACAGGGACGGTGAGGGCCTAGAAGCGCGCGTGCTTAGCTGAAGTCGATGTGCCATGGAAACGGTGGAGGCAATAAGGCTGAAGACTCTGGCGAAGTTCCTGGCCCCCTGAGCACCGTGAAGATGGTGGAAACACTGGCGCCACGACGAGACAGTGAAGACATCGACATGACTGCAAGTGCCAGCCGTGCCAAGCGTGGTGATTGTGGGCGGTTTGGGATGTTGCTGCATAAGCATAGGCTGGCTGACTGACTGCCTGCTTGGCTGGCTGACTGACTGACTGAGTGAAAAGCAGGGGTTGCAAGCAGAGCCAGAGTTTGCGTGACAAGGTGTTGCCAGGCCACCTCTGCATTTGGCACAACAGCGTGCCTGGTCTCAAGTGGCAGTGTAGTGTCAAGTTTTCGGGCCAAGCAATGGGTATTCGAGCTTGACGTCCATCAGTTCAAGGAGATTTGCTGATCGCCATCACTGAGGTTCATTATCCCCAGATCGCCAGAGCTTCCAGCCCCTGGCGCCGGTTGCCGTTGCCGGCTTTCTGGAGGAAGTCTGCAGACCATACAGTAAGTGCAGGTTTCTCTGCCACACTGTACCGAATTAGCCGTAGGAAGTGAAGCGAGATTTGGCCATCAATCTTGAGGAGAGTAAATGTACCAAGTATGCGCGTGAGCAGCAAACCGAGAACGGAGCTGGTCCCGAGTCCCATGCTACCAGCACTCGAGGCCACAGCGCCGTTAACGTCGCAGCTGACTTTGTCGTATGTGTCGTCTACGAACATCTTGCGCTTCTGTCAGGGCTACGGCTACGAGGCACGGGCAGACCTAGCCGCTGACCGTCAGTTGGATCTGGAGTGGTTCTGGGATCTGTGCGCTTGACAATGGGGTCAGAAGCAGCTGCCGGCGTGAACTTCGGACTACTGCTTGATATTCCCTTGTGATATTCCCTTTGTCGTATAGGCTCGCTGGCAGTTATGGTTTCCCGAGTCTCCCCTCTGAAAGTAGATCCTTCGGATGAGTTTTTTTTGTATGCTTGGCCTTTTCCAAGGATGTCTGGGCGCAGCGACCAGGCAGTGCAACGGCGCCAGTGATGGTGTCTCGGCGGCTGATCCCGTAGGGTGGTAGGATTTGCGCGCGTAGACCACATCCCAGGCATTCGAGGTTGCTGGGCACGAGGAACGTGGAGGCTGTGATGTCGCGGTGTTGCTGTTTTGGGATTTAGTTGAGTACAGTCAAGCGCGTTCTGGCTCGTCAAGAGACACAGCTGCAAACTGTACGTAAGCTTCAGCCGGGTCTCAGATCGAAGCCTTCGTTCTTGTACCAGTTGAGTGCGCAGGTCATACTTGGTATCAAATGAAATGCTCCCTCATGGCCGCGTCCTGAGCTGTAGAACCGGACACCCGGCAAGGCCCGACAAGGCATGGGCAAGGTGAATGCCGAGGGCACTCGAATGGTTTGAGGAAGTAAAAGAGCTTGTCTCAAAGCGATACGAGAATACGCTGCCTTCAGACTTCAGTGACCTTCGTTCATCGTGTCGAGGCTCCTCGCTCGGTGCCTGCACTGCGCTGGAAGGTGGAACGGCGTCTGCTTCTCGTCATGGCGAGCCCTCCCTAGCTCTTCGCTTTTCGAGCAGATGTCTTGACAATTTCACGCCAGCTGTCCAACCCGCGACACATTTCTGTTGGCAATTTTTTCTTGGAAAGCCCAGGTCAAGCCTGCGCGAGGAATTGCACGAAACCTGGCCCAACCTTGGATTCAGCCGTGCACTTCTCAGGTGCTCTTTGTCGTGCTCAGGATAGGATCAAGGATGGCTTGGGATCCAGCTATGCCACTTACTTCGGCAAGACACCTTTCGCGCTGAAAGGCATGCCGTTAAAGAGCCGGCCTGACGTTTTGTCCAAAACTTGCAGTAAATGCAGCATATCCTGTAGTGAGTGACCAGTCTACCCTACTGAAGCCGAAGTTTCTCGATCTCCGAGCTAACCAGTACCTGGTTGCAATGCAACGAAGGGCAAATCCACAAGAAAAGGCCGTCAAGGCTTTCGTCCAAGTTGTGAATTCCTGAATTCAACATCGGCATCAGCAGTGTCCTTTGGATGTGTTAAAGCTAAGCCGTTTGGTGGGTTTCCACAGAAAAGGAAGGCGCTTTGTGCTTGCAGGGGGTCTGCCGGGCACAACTGCACGGCTCAATCTTTGGTTCCTCGGTCGAGAAGAGTCGGGCCCGAGTCTTGAGTGCCAAGGACATGTTGGGGGTGAAGGCAATGCACGTGAGGTAGTGTCACAGGTCTGCCTGGTGATAGAATTCACAAGACCCGAAGGTTTGGATCCCTGGCGGAAGTTGTAAATCGCGGAGATGCGCAGCCCTCGGTGGTCGCGCTGCTGCTCCTCTTCCTGGAGGCAAGGCTTGCATCGTTTTCGCAGCGCCCTGCAGCCGCCACAGTTGTTTCGTGCTGGCCTGAAGGCCCCAGAGCCGGGAGAGCCGACTGGCCCAGAGCCTCAAGAGGCGAAGTGTGCACCCAAAGTCCTTTCTCTGGCAGGGAGCCAAAGGCTGCAAGATTTTTCTTTTTTTTGAGGGGGGGGGGGAGGGGGAAACGTGCTTTTTTTGTTTTTGAGGGTTCGCTCTCCCTTGCGGAGGCCGAGGCACGCGCCGGCGCCCCGGCCGCCCCGGCCGCCTTTTTGGGGGCCTCGGCAGAGGTGGGCGACGGGGTGGCGCCTTCCTTCCAGGAGGAGCGGCGCCTTTCCTCCACAGCCGTAGGCACCTCTCCATGCAGCCATCATGCAGCCTTGCAGCCCCTTCGGCCTTCGCTTCTTCCTTGAGGAGCCTCCAAGCGGCCTGAGTCCACAAAAGAGTGCGGGAGCTCGCACGGCCGGCCCAGAAGTCACTGAGGAGATCACTGAGATCGAGATCAGCTTGGAAGACGAGACAGGTTAAAAAGTCTGAGACTTCGAGGCTTCGATTCGGGTTTGCGTCTCTTGCCGCGACGCTATGCCACGCACTTGTTTATGCAGGACCACAACAAGGGGACCCTTCCCTTCTCTCTGGCCACTCATACTAGACCTATTTTGATGACTGTCCTTTGGGGTGCATCTACAAGCCTACCTGTCTTGCCACTTGAATGCTCTGATGGTTCCGGTTGACATGTGGGCTCAAAGCAGACAGCATTTCCGGGAAGCCGCACGCTGGTTCGAGCCCTGCAGGTTACGGGCCTAGATAGAGCACGCCCGCCAGCCACTTTGGACAAGTTTGCCAGGTAGCTCATGCGACAGTCGGCATGGCACAGCCTGCGGCCAGGTTGCAGTCAAGTTCCAAGGTGCAAGGTTGGCGGTCACAGAGCAATTCCAACCATAGGTCCAGGGATCGCAGAGAGGGCCGGGATCTTACGTAAGACCTACGCCCCTACGCAAGCCATAAAGCCTAAAACGTGGCACGTGTTCCTGTTTTCATCAACCTGAACCTGTATTCAATACTTTAAACCTTAATTACACCCAAGCCTAAACCCCGCCTAAATGCAGGCTCTAAGCTTGAAGCAAAACATAACCCTAACCAACCTACACTCCAAGCCCTCCCCAAGCTCTTGTCGAGATCCAGCCGCCGGTCAGCTACCCACCCACTGGTTAGAGGTTCGAGGTTTCCGCCCGTCAGAAACTATCTGTCCAACCTGCGCCCGACAGCTACCCACCCTCCGTGCGTCAGATTCTGTCTGTCTATCTCCCCCCCGCCCTCGTCGGGTCCGCCCTGCCGCCCGTCAGCTACCCGCCCCAAGGGGGCATAGGGGTTACCCGGCATGGACTGGACGCTTCTGCAAAGGAGCGACCAGAGCGACCGGGCAGCCCTCACGCTGGCCGCCTTTCGCGGCTTCCGGAGCTGCTCCCGCCGGGGTTCAGCGAAGCGCAGCGTGTGCTCTACGTGACCCCGGCGGAAGTCGTGACTCCTCCCTTCGACTTCGAGTGTGTGCCAGGATCGCATCCTTTCCGGAGCCAAAGATGCTTCCGGCAAGCCGCGAGCCGAGATGAGTTGAGAGCAGAGAGTCTCGGAGTTGCGGCTTCTCCGAGGCCGCTGAAGACGCGAGTCAACGAGGAGCCACGGCCCAGGGCTTTCGCTCGTCGCGCCCGCATGCGCCCGCCGGCCCGGCCTGTGTGTCCTTGCTCAGGAGACAGGTGGCCTGCTGGGGCCCTTCAACTCCTTCCTTCGCCAGAGGCTCTGGTGGAGGAAAGCCTCGTGGACCATGGGAAAAAGTCAGCACTGCGAGCACATCACGTCACGACCCCCCCGGCCCCTCAGCACGTTTGGCCTCAGATCGAGGGTCTCCCGAGCTCGGCGGACAACTGGCCACGCTTGCTGAGACGATGCTCGGCCGTATGGAGTTGGCTGTGTCACACATGTGTTACAGTGTTGGTCTCTGTATCAGCTGCCAGTAGCCTTCGGCTCGCGAGTCTTTCGTCGAAGCTTGATCATGCAGTCCTCTCGCCAAAGCTTTCGTTCTCCACGGCCCTAAAGCCTGTTTCAACCCGTTGGTTGTACCGCTGCATAACGGCTCCACGTGCAGGACATTGCACACCGGCTAGTTAGACGCCGGAGATTCCGGTTTGAGTCGATCGAATGTTTTCCAATCCTCACCACCCACCGCCGACCGCCTGTCATGTCTCGTTGATGGTTGCATGTTTTGCAAGCAACAGTCGTCACGGCTCCTCGTGCCAAGTTTTTGGTTACTAGTTACCGAATAGAGTTGGCCGAAGAACGATGTCCTTGGAGCGCCATAACCGGGTCTAGTCCTCGGAAGTGGTATGAGACCCGACAGTTAATGGTTTCTACCTGGGAAACTGAGGCTGCGATTCGGAGATCTTCAAGCGAACCAGCGGCTGCTCGAGCGGCTTGGGTGCATCCTTGTTGGCTTTTCGATGCCTTTCCCATGCGAGAGTGGGGTTGCCGAAGTCCGAGCGGTCGCTGGCCTTGACTAAATCTGCCATTGCCATCTTTGATGCACGGAGCATTGCTTTGATTTTGGCTCGCGAAAACTCCATCAAGAATCGAGTTTGCCAGTTGATCCGTATGTTGCCTGCATCCTGAGCTATGTGCAGGTCGATTTCAGTGACAAAAAGGGACATAGTCATGTAGAAGCCGATGCCATGCCGAACGCTACGCAAGCCCCATCCATCGCCGCCGCCGTGTCCTTCGGCGCAATCCTTGACGTCAAAGACAAGCACAGCCTTTATGCACCACGGAAATATCTTGAGCATCGCAGTTCTAAGCTGCAGGCTGCAGGTTTACGCGCTTTTTGGTTTTTGGTTAAGTGTTTGTTTTGCGGCGGTCTACTGCATGTGTTCGTCTTAACTCAGGCAGCTTCAAATCTGGGTGACCATGTGCAGAGTGTCAATAAGGGTTGAATAGACTTGAAAGCCTCGGCTGCAACCGACAGATGCATCTGACTCTCGCCCGTAAGGTAAGCAACCTCAGCGTCACTGTTGCCTGGATGATATGATGTTGCCAACTTCGTGCAGATACCCACTCTCTTTCAATGCAACAGTTGTCGGATGCTGTTGTCGAGCGCGCCCACACACCCACACACCCACACACCCACCCACCAACGCACTCACGCGCCCACACCCAGCCCCCCCCAAACCCACACCCACCCCCACACCCATGCCCTCGCCCATGCCCGTCCACCCACACCCACACCCCCACGGAGCCTGTAACACAACGCGTTGCCCCAATCTGCCCCTAAATCATATTATGTCGGCTGAAGACCCCAGAGCTGACGCATGGGGAGAAAACAAGTCATGGCCAATCCTGGGAAATGAAAACACACAAACAAGAGAGAAAATATGTTCATTATCACCACGTACACGTGTGTAGACACACACACACACGCACATTCTGTATTTGTTTTCAACGTTTGTTTATTTACATGGTTCTTTCTTTGTTTCTTACTTGTTTTATTTCTTTATTATTATTTGTTTCTTGCTTTCTTTCTTTCTTTCTTTCTGTCTTTCTTTCTTTCTTTCTTTCTTTCTTTCTTTCACTCTCACTCTCACACTCACACTGAAACTCTCACTCTCTCACTTTCTCACTCTCGCACACTCTCACTCTCTCTCTGTCTCTCCCCCCCTCCCTCTCCCTTTCCCTTCCCTCTGTGTTTCTCACGACTGAAGCCACAAAGCCCGAACAAACATACTGCCAGTTGCAAGGTTCATGTGCCGTGCCAAGTCACAGAACGCTACAAACATTGCTTCCAGCTTCAAAGCCCTGCAGCTTTGCACCGAAACCAGGTGACCGAAGACTCGCTGCGCGAGGTCTTCCGGCATTGTGGGCCCTTGGACCAGGCAAGTTGAGCGGACGGTTTTGGGAACTTTGTTGATCTTTGTATAGTGGTGCCAATGCATCGACATCCCATGTGCTTGCCACGGCCGCTGCAGGTGATCTTCCGCACCTATCCTGGTTCCTTGACACTTGGGCTGCCCAGGATTTTGAGTTTCTGATTTGCAGATGCGTGCGCAGAATTCTGGGGGCGTGTTCATCCGCCTTGGAGCCCAAATGGACAGTTGAAGCTCAAGATTTCGCCTTGAGGAAGTGGTATGCGCAGCTTAACTTCCAAACGGCAGATGGCGTCGTGCAGGCGAGTAAGATGGAAGGCACATGCTCTCTGCCACACTGTGCATAATGACTATGGGGGCGACGAAACATCGTTCTGACAGCGCCTTGTTTCCGGGTTTTAGATGGAAGCAGCTGCTGAATGGAGAGGAGAGAGTGATATGAAACACAGATTTCCGTAATCTGTCATGTTCGCCTCCGAACCGCACCAGCTTCGTTGTGCAGGGACCCCAATCTGCGGCACAGGGATCCGCTGCTCTGATGCTGGGCTGACATTAACACAAGCGGGCCAGGGCCCTTAAGTGCGAGCTGGGTGGCAGCTCGCCCGCATTCGCCCGCCATCGTCATCTTCACAGTCCATGCCAGTGTCATTTGTTTGTCTCGCTTCATACCAGGCGGTCTATCTTTGTGTAACACTGTCTATCTCTGTATCTATCTCTATCTCTGTATCTATCTGCTTATCTTTCTATCCATTCGTTCATCCGTTCATTTTACTCGTCCATTCACCTACCTTTTTTCGTACCGACTGGTAGCTGCCGGCCCACCATCCATCTCTCTCTGTCTCTATCCATCTACCCGCTTTTGATTCTATCCATGAATCCATCCATCAATCCATCTACCTATCTGTCTGTTTGTCTATCTGTTTATCCATCTTTCAATCCCTCGGTGTCTCTCTCTCTCTCTCTCTCCCTCTCTCTCGTTCTCTCTTCTGTCTCTCTGTCTGTCTTTCTTCTCTCTCTCTCTCTCTCTTTGTCTCTCTTCTGTCTCCCTGTCTCTCTGTCTCGCTGGACATCCATCCATCCATCTAGCATTCTAACCATCTAACCATCTATCTACTTATCTATGTATCCATCTATCTACCTACTTATCTACCTATCTATCTGTCTATCTATCCGTCTATATATCTATCTAGCTAACTGTCTATCCATCGGTCATCCTCGTCATCACGCGCACCATCACCCAACACCCAGCACCCAGCGCCCAGCGCCGAGTAGCCAGACAACATCACACACACACACATACAAGTACGGCAACATGCTGTTGACCTTTGGCTTCATGAGGAGTACCATGTGTCCCAGCATGGGCAGAGACAGATGCCGTTCAACCGTTGTTTCCACCAATTACAGGTGTACTACTGCGCCACCTCGCATCTGAAGAAGACACGGTGCTGCCGGTTCTTGCTGGTGGCAGACCAGCATGTTTTTTGGATCAATAGAGACCTAGGCCATTGATCCGACGTCCTATGCGGCTAACGATGTCCTTGCCCGTTTACAGGCCGGCAGTAGGCCCTTTGGATGTTTTGCCATGGCCGATGCTGCTGTAAAGTCCACTTTTAAGACTTCGGGTTGTCGTATATCTGTGAACCGTGTCGTGTGAGTCTCAGCATCACTCAGACAGGCCAAAGAAGAGGAGGTCGCGAACAAGGAGGATCCCGAAATCGCCAGGCCCAGTGCTTCTTCCCAATGGGAGGTGTTCTTTCTCTCCTGTAGCGCTTGAAGATGTGCTGCGGCGGCGCATCATGGCGAAAGGGGCTCTGCACACACACACGAGCCGTCGAGCTCCGACGAGGCAAGAGTGGCACAAGAAGCTGCGCGAGCATGCCGAGGCCGGGTGCTTTGGAATTCTGGGTGCATCCCAGCTGCTTGGAAAAAGGGTTGCTGAAGCGCAGGCTTAAAGCCTAGCTGAAACGAGGCGCGGACTCTGCGAACGGTGCACGTTTCCGGGCTGCCCGCGTCGACGACCCTGCAGGAGGGGTCCCTGGGTAACCGAAGCGGGGGCTGGGGACTCGTCGCAGGAGTTGCAGCGGCTTGGAGAGCAGTTCGGCAGCGTGGAGCAGCCGCTTGGAAAACGTGGCGAATCAAAGTTGAACCCGGAAGCTTGAAGGGACCTTCTGTTGAGCGAGCAGAGACAGAGTCTCAGACTGAGCGCAGTTCGGACTCTAAGACCAAGACGAGGGATGTTACTGGCCTTCAGACCCGGCACGCGACCGCGGCCAGCCTCCGGATATCCTGTACTTGTGTGCGCATGAATCTGTTTGAGGCTACGCCTGGATCGCGATGCGAAGGGTGCCAAGGACGCGGTTCATTTGTGATCATTTGTGCTGGACGGTCATGGTTGTGATTGAGGCGCATCTGCTGCGCCTAAATCGGAGCAGTTTCCACACAGCCTCAAAGCCTTGGGTAGAGGTCTCAACCACAGCTCTCGCCTAAAACCTGGGTCGCACTCCGTTTGAAGGCTTCCCAAGTGCTTATCAAACCTGCACGACTCCTAGCGTTCGCTGCATCAATCCAGGTGCACCTTTCGGTCTCATTCAGTTCAAGGACCGGCTGTAGATCGCTGAGCAAGCGCAGTTGGCCGTTATAGGTCGGAATAGAAAATCTAGCTCAGCTCTCGTTTGCATAAGTGCCAGGAGCTCGGAATCGCCCGAGGCTGCTGTCTGAAGCGGACCTTCTTGGTGACTTTGCGAAAGGTGAGCGCCATGTCAGGCAAGAGCAGGCAGGCCGCCAGTCCTAGTCGAATACCTCTTGACACCGGATGCTGGTGAGACCTGGCGAGTCATGGATGGTCTTAGTCTTGCCCATGCAGCTCAGGTAGACGAGAGCGTCGTTATCTTTTCCGAATCAAAATCCGAGGCATGCTGGCATCGTACGCTGACAGGTTCAAATCCATGAAGGTTATCAGAATTTACATGCTTTCGATTTTGCAATTGTCTGCCAGAGCTCCAGAACTCCTGTTTGCAGCCAGTGAAACACAGAGCCGAACAATTCGCCCCGGAGGTGAACTCGACAGATATTGAAGAAGCGACTGTTGAGACTCGGCACAAGACCAACGCTGTAAACAGCATGTCACGTGTCCTGCGCCAGTACTACATTGTGGGCTGCAAAGCGAGATGTTTGCAGACTTAGTTCATGAGGGCCTCAAGACTACAATCACAAAAGGACTTTGCAAAGAGCTTGAAGTGCGACAGTCACTTAGGAGTTTCGGCATCCCTGTGTTGATCGTGCATTGGCAAGCGCGGGGACGGAGCCAACGACTCAGCCGCAGGCCCATAAAGTTTTCGGCTGTTGGAGTCGAGCGTCGCTTCCTCCATTCAGCTTGCGTAGCCTCGTTGAAGTCGGAGTGTCCCGAAGTTCTGATCAGGGCAAGTTCTGGGATGAGCTGGCAGAGAAGCAGCGGCAGCTTTACAACCGCAAGCTTGAGAAGGCCAAGTATAGCATGCTGGCTGGGACTGCACACGGTGTTTCATGCTATTACAATACTTTCAATCTCGAATACATGTTTTTTTACCATATACATTAAGGCAGCTGACAATGAGACGCCCCAGTGCTTGTGAGACTGTTCGGATTTTGGCGAAAGCTATGTCGCCTCCGATGGCTGAGAAGAGGCTGATGATGCTGGGTTCCGGCAACAGTCTGCTCAATGAAAGATGAGCCTTTATCTTTCACGGCGGTTGGTTGGGGCGGACAGGGGGGCCACGGGGGAGTCTAAACACACCAATCGAGAAGTCTACGAAGCGCCGCTGGCGGCATCGATGAGGGAGCCGGTTCCGAGAGCGTCGGTAGGTAGGGCAGTTAACTTCACTGGTGCGTAGCTATTGTTGGGGGGTAGGGTATACGGCATGCGGCATTCGCCGTTCAGCTTTGCCTGTAGAGTGGCGGTTGTAGAGTCCAGCAACTGTAGGATGTTGTAGACGTGGGGTGGGGCGGCTGTGTAGAGTGACTAGCCGTTGTAGAGTCTAGTTGTAGGTGTAGGGTGGGGCGGCTGTAGAGGCAATAGAGTGTCTAGCGGCACGACGCAATTCGCCGGGAGTGTCTAGCGGAGTCTAGCGGCGCGACACAATTCACCAGCTGTAGTTGTATGTGCACACTCAAAGCCATCCTGTTCTAGCTCCCTAAGTGTATATAGGGAGTCGAGTTTGAGATGAACGATGAAATTTCAGATTTCACTGCCGGGGGTTGGGGGCCGGGGAGAGATTTGTTACATGCAGACTACTGCGAAAGAATCTGCCAAGAGTGTTTTCATAGATCAAGAACAAAAGGCAGGGGATCGAAGACGATGAGCTACCGTCCTAGTCTTAACCATAAATTATTATTATGCCAACGAGAGATTGGAGGTCGATCAAACACCATCCTAGTCCTAATCATGAACCCTGCCAACCAGAAATGGAGGTCGTTACCTATACGACTCCT